GATTAGCGATTTCTTACAATCTCAAGATTCTTGTAATATTAATTTAAGATTAAAATACTAATGATTTCAATATCGACCTGCCGCTCCCATCAAGGGTTTCTCAATCGTGAATTGTTTTCTTCTTTCACTTGTCATAATTAAGAAAACAGTTTTTTCTGTCCACGTATTACATTCGTCATGTGTTTCTGGGATAACGTAAATCATTTATCATTCATACAATTTTTTAATCAGTAAATCAGATAAAAAATCAGAGAAAAGTTAGAAAGATGATTAATTTTTTTTATATCATCATATCGTATTTCAAAATTTTTGATTCAGTTCTCTTTTTATAAATTACGATCAAAGCATAAGATAAAGAAAAATACAATAACAGAAAACCTGAAAAACTTGTTTCGTTCACCTGGTCAACGATGAACGATCTAGTTTCGATCTAGGCTAAATCTTGCAAACAAATTCTTAACAAAAATTCGACATTTAATAATTCTGCATGTAACAAAATATCTCATGGAAAATTCAGACAGTTTTTCAATAAATAAGTGCCTCATGCCAAAGACGGGCAATTGTCGCTCGCGACGCTTTTTTTCCAGCATTGCACCTCCTCTCTAGCAAACTAAAAATGTACGGAGGACAAAAAAAATGCGTATTCTTCTAGATAGAAGGCGACGCGAAGGTCGACGAGAACAAGTTCGACGTAAAACTGGAAACGGTCGCGTGAATTCGATGAAGGACCGGTGGCAATACGCAGAGCTTTTTTGCTATTCTTTTATTTCTTGAATCGTTCGACCTCGACGAGCTACGCCGGACAGCTCTCGCAAATTAAATCGTGAGCGTAATCTATATGCGTACTAGTGAATGGCATAAAAACGGTATTCCGAAATGTTAAAATGGATTTTTTATGTATTAGTTTTACGACGCTATCGTGGTCTTCGTGTCTTTCCTGGATTTTAAGTCTGAGCCAATTACTTTTCAATTTCAATGTTACCATATGCCGTTCTCTGATTTACTCCGAATAGTGGAACACGGTTCGTACACAAAAGCCACATAATTATTACATAAATGTTTTCACAAATTGACAGTTCTAGGAGCAAAAGGTGCCAAAAGTGCAGAATCACTCCAGCATCCCCTTAAAATCGTTATTACTGCTTGGCATTGTTTCAAACGTAACACGTGTCTTTGATACTGCGGTTCTAAAGGCGAGACAATATATTTTCCTCTCTACAATCCCAAAAATCGGCACATTTTATATTATTATTGACACAAACAGCAAACGTGCTTTATGTCATTACGTCGAATTCGCTCGTCGCGTCTCGTCGCAAAGTTAATCAGTGCAATCCAATAAGACCACGGCCGCGTTATAATAACAGGAGAAGTAATTTTTGAAAAGTAATTAAATCAATCTTATACGTCGCATATTAAAAGGAAAGAGAGATTATATGCACGCGTAGGACGCACGTCACGTCGGTGTGGTTAAGTTATTCTCGATCGGAAACTCCGCATTTTGCTTTTAGACCCCTCACGTACTCGTATGTATCAGCACGCAGTGATCAAAAATACAAACACGTCGGTTAAACCTGTCGTGATAAAGAGCCGAAGCTATTTATAAACCGTATTCTCGCCACTATTTGGCGCTAAATAAAATCACCGTCTCGAATCCATACTTGCCTTCATACGTATCTCGTCTTTAAAAAAAGGATCTACCGATAACGATTTCACCGGTAAATAAATCGTCGACCTTAGAATGCACGATTTGAAGACGAAAATATGATGCCGAGCCGAAATACAAGAGTAAAGAGTAAAGAAGCTGAGGAGCGGTCCTTTGAAAACCTCAAAGCTAAGCCTCTCGCATTATCGTATTTCCTTTATACCGTAATTCAAGTTTTCTTCTCCAAGAAACGTGCCTGCTATTAATTAAAGTTTTAGGTCAGCTACGCGCGTCCGCCTTATCTCTTCCGATTTCTCACGCTTAGCGCGAAACCTGCGACCGGCCGATTCCGGTTACGGTTTAAATGCAGCCGCCGATACAGGCCGTCGATCGTTATCGGCGCACGCAACACGCGTCTCGTGCGGCGACGCCCCGCATACCGGATACCCCGGGGGACAGTCGCGAATTAATTAATCGCCGAATAGGCGTTGGCGCGAACCGTAATAATGACGATCCGCCGGTGACGATTAAGGCCGATCCGGCCGGATCGGCCAAGATATGCGGAGAAAGTCCGGCCGGCCCCCGTGCCGCGTACGCCTATGTCCGGTCATTGCACCACATAATTCCTTCTACTTTTTTTTTCTATCTCGCGCGCCACGGCGACCGCTACGGGTGTCGGAACGGAATTTCATCGAGACGCTTTTTCCACGCATTATCGCGATCGCGTTTCGTGCGATCGCGTTTCGACCTTTCGCTTCGCTCCTCCCGCTTCGTCCTCCGAAACCTTAACCGGAAGGTCGCGTTTCGAGCCGCGGAATCAAACGGAAGGTGGGCACGTGGCTCCCGTCACGCGCGACTTCTGAACGGACGAAACTCGCGTTTTTAGAGGTCGCGCTCTTTCATCGGCGCAGGTTCCTCGGCGACACGTGTGGAGCCAGTTCTCGCTCGGCAGGAGCGTCTAGGTGAATTTATGCGATCGTGTCCTCTCAGGTTTCAAGACTCACTTAATCTATCCTAACAGCTAAAATTTTTATTCAATTGCATTTCTTCCGCGGGAGAAACTGTAAGCAAAGTTATAAATAAAACGCTTCTGCCAAGATTTAGGAGACAAATAATGACATATCGTCCATTTCTGATTCAAGCAATTCATTTCTGATTCAAGCGGCAGAAATATTACATTTCGTCATCGTTTACGACGAATTTCTTTTAATTAATTAGCATTTTTATAGTTCGCCATTCAACAGCAACTCGACTCCAAATTAGCCGACGAACTCGCGACATTCATTTGCGTCACTTCGAGGAAAAAAAATCTCTAGATACAATAAGTCGAAAGGGAAGCTCGCGAGAGGGCGGTGATTCAACGCCGGAACCACGAGAAGGGTGCGATTCACGAGCGACTAAAGGACCCTGTAATCAGAGACTGGCCATAAGAGTTCGTCAAATTCCCGCGAGTGAGAGAGAAACATAGGCTAGCTCGCTCTTTTACGATCGTAGAATATCTCTCACTCGTAGGAATTTGACGAATCCTTACGCCGGTCTCTGATTACGGGGTTTCTACGAGCGAATGCCAATACATACTGAATCGACGACGACCTTGCTGCCTGCTGATGCATCATTGTAAGAAATATCGCGCGCTTCCGGTTGGTCATTCACGCGCCGAGGCTCGCACGATCGAGAATACGGCGCGTGCATACGCGATGTGTGTCTACCGTTCTTAATTGCCGCTTATCTGGACGCATAATTACCGATGATACATCGGTGAATAAGCGCCGGCCCAATTCTTTTTTCCCATCGCCCGGGACAGGGCTCGATCGAAATGCGGGCGAAACGTCGGCACGATTACCGATAAAATATCGGTGTACGGTTACTTTTGCGAATGACGCGGCTCGCCATTTGCATACAGGCACTCACGAATAAATAGAGTTTAGGATAAGTCCTACGATCCCGGCTTTCAATATATAATTACCTGGACGACAAACCTGTGATATCTATACCTCAATTAATCATGCGACGTTTTGTGATTAATGGAGGGGGTTTATTTGCAGGCATATTTTATCTCAAATGATAGTAGTCTCAGTTTACCATAACTACCTCGGGGATATTTTTTTCAGATATTTGCGCGTTTGTAGTTGGATTAATTATACGCAGCGTTTGCCTTTGGCAATGATGCAATATGCGTAGAACTAGATTGCTTCAAATGTAAATTATATTCTACCGAATTAATAATTAGACCGTGTGTATTAAAATGACACGTTGGCTAAAAAATACTAAAAATATACCGAAGGCTTGTAATGTCTGCAACATTAGCCCGCAGTCCTTTCTATCGGTTCAACCATGCGACAAGTTTTTTCCTTTTCTTCTTATGGTTGTATTGTTCTCCTTCAACAATACAATATGTATTGTCTATACATATTCCAGAACTATTAAGTGGTTAATGTAAATTATGACGATCAAATCTCTGCATGGAGAGGTCTTTTTTAAATTTAACCAGAAAATATTGTAATCGTGGGACAACACGACATTTCACTAGTAATTATACTTAGCATGCATTTTACTAGTAAAATGTATGGTATACTTTCAACAAACTCTCATAAACAACTTCAGTATTTTCTTGACCATTTGTGGCATTTTTAATAATACAGAAAATTTCTTGCGAAAAATATTACCTCAACCAGGGTTTGACCCTGGACTTCCCTACACTCTACACCCTCAGAAAGGATTTCTGTTACCGAGACAAAAAATATTCTTGACGCATTTATATTTCTCACAACCTCATTTGGTATAAAAATAAGACGATATCAAATTTAAATCAATAATTCTTCTTCTCCTCTATCGAATTAAAAGAGATTGACTTACTACATTGAGACAAGAGTAACTTATATAAATGTATTCGACAAAAGACGATACTATCATTTTATTCTAGATTTTAGAATTTTTCATTTAAGATCAAAATATCCCTTTCTCTATAATAAATATGATTAATTTCGCTATATCGATCCCATTTTATGATACATTCAAGTGTAATAGTATTGGATCTGGAAATTTATTCTGTGGGTGTAGGCGGGCGTCTCACTTTCATAAAGTTCTTGAAAATGCCATGTTGTCTCACGCTCACATGGTTTTCAGAATAAATTTTCAGAGAACATTCTCTCCGTGTAATAATCCTTGCAAAACAAAGATCCATCATTTACCTCATTGCGATTCCGCCAACTCGATAAACAAGATATTTAATTTAAAAAGTTAATTTTGACAGTGTCACAATGTGAACGTTTAGAAAAAGACGCGATAAAAAAGTAACACCTCTCGTTTTCTCACATGCAAAACCTGTCTAGCGATAAGTTAGCAATAATCCACTCACCCTTGGCCCATCCGGTCAGCACGTTTCCGAGGTAGGCGACTTTGTAGGAGGGATCGTACTCGGTTATCGACGCGTTGCCTCTGTGCCTCCTCCAGAGACGGCCCAGTCCTCTCTTCAGGGACCTCAGTGTCCTCTGGCCGAACTCCTTGCTCGCGCTGGCGGGCTGCACCGTGCCGTCGATCTCGTCGATGGGATCCGCGACTACGTCGCCCATCGTTTTCATCTTCGCGTTCGTCTCGCTCGCAGGTAATCTCCTCCGCGGAATTTTTCGCACTCGTTTCGAGTCCACGTAAGAAAGTCCGCACCTCTCGGCCGAGGTCACCGCGCTACATTGTGCCGTCACTTCGTCGCGCTTTGTGTTTCGTTCGAGGTTACGAGATGCTATTGCGGAGGAGTTCGGCTTCTTCCTCGGAGCACAAGAGAGCCCCGGTCTCGCGATCGCGGTCGGCGATCGAGAGAGATTGCGAAACTCGAATAAATCGTCGGCGCTTAGGCGGCCGCTACGTAAGCGACTGTCGATCGGTCGGAAGCTGTCATTCGCCGCCTCCAAGGTCGTTCCTCTCCTCGATCGTTATTCGCACGCGCGCGAAAAGATCGCGGCTTCGTTCTCCAATGCGATCCCGCGTGTCATCTCCTTTCCTTCCGTCACCGCGCGTTCCTCCTGCCCGCCGGCGAGGTTCACGATACGTCTCTGAAACAGAACGGAGGATCGTTGGACGCAGGTTCGTCGATTTTCGAGGCGGGCCGACCGGTTGTCTGCCCCGCGAACAACACCTGTGCGACTTAAGTCGGTCAAATGTCATTTTCCCTGTTAAGGTATCCCCATACACGTTCCGGAAATCCTCTGAGGAAAAACTGTGCAGTCCTGGCCCTCGGAATTTCCGGAGCGTCTGTGCGCGAGGGGTTCGTTCAGGCAATCCCGAAGTCCAGGACCGCACAGTTTTTCCTCAGAGGATTTCCGGAATGTGTATGGGTACCTTAACGCGTCGTCTACAATGCATGGGGTAAGCCTGAAGTAAGGAGTAGGAGTAAGGAAATTAATCAGTTTTATTTCTTACTCCTGCTTCAGCTCTTACGCTTACTCTCGGTGAATCTAAACGCCATCGATCAGTGTTGCACATATTTTAAAAATTATGCCTGTATTTTGGTTTCCTCACGCCAGAAACTAAGTCATGGCTCTCTCCTACTCCTTACTCCAAGCTTACTCCACGTGTTGTAGACGACGCTTAATGGATTCGATCGAAGATGCGCAAAATAGGTTGCGGAAGCGGGGTCGACTCGAATTTAGTGGACCTCGACTGGGCTCACGCGAATTTTTCGAACGTCGTCGAAGGTCGATTTCGAGAAAGTTTTCGATTGGAGTCGCGCCCAAATAGATATCAACCGAGAAAACTTTCTCTCGTGCGTTCTCCTTTAATGTCCAATTAAAAACAAAAGAAAGACAAAGAGACAGAAAGATAAAAGTTAGAGCGTGACGTAAACTTGCTCGCGCACTCCGATGCGGGAATTAATAAGAATGGCAAAAGTTATCGTTCTTTTTGCGAACAGATTGTCCACATAAATTAGAAATTAATGTCGCAGCCGATTACGACTCGCGACGTTGAGTTTCCACGATTTTCCTCTATGGTTTCTAGAACCTCGGGTATCAAGAAAGCTGCGTTCGGAGTAGAAAGTATCGCTAATAAAAATACACGTGCGGGAGAAAGTAATGGAACTGATAACGAGTGCGGTGCTCCAAATACGTATACAAAAGCAATTACAACTGGGTCGGCTGCATCGTCTCCGTAAAAAAAAAGAAGAGATAATAGGTACTGAATATTTTTTCCCTCCCGCAGAAGAGCGTATAATCATTAGATAATTATCAATAAGACGTTACTCCGATCGATATTAAATCAGCCAGCAACCCCCCCCCCCCCCGACATGCTTCGTGCAACGTTCAAGCGCATAATCGACATCAACAAGAACGAGAGCGCCTTTGTTGCGGAAACCGCGCCAACGTTGAAAAATTAGTTTTCGCGAGACGTAACGAGCTCGCGACGTAGAACGTGCATTGATAAGAATTTAAACGAGGACGACGGGCAAACTTACGGTTTCGTGGATTTTCAGTACAAGGCTGTTGTGCACCGCGCTCATGGTATTTTAAGACCGCGCGGTACGAGAGTGTGAGTACGCGTTCGTCCGGTCAATTTATCTCGCCGGAAATTACGGTTTTCACCGGAAATCTTGCGGCCGGGCAAGATTTTTCGATCCTCGCTAAAATCCTAGCTTAACGGCACCTTGTTGTAACCAACGTCACGTTCCGTCGACCGTTAACAATAGCGATCGACGAACGAATTAACGCGCATTAAATCAAGATATATTTATTGTTATACGCAACAATTTTGTATTAGAGAAGAGCACTCCGCGAAATTCCGTATTTTCTTAACGATTCGGTCATTAAAAGTTTTATATATTTAACTTATCGGGTTATCTCAACGTTAAAAAATCGATCGCAATTACGAATTTCACTTAATTTGCGGAGAATTATTTTGCGCACTGCTGGAGCACAGCGGCCAGTTGTCTCGACATTGCGAAAGAACCCGGGAAAAACATTTCCGGACTCGCATGAATATTTTTCGCTTCTTCTGATGCGTTTCTCCAGTCCTAAAACTGTCTATCATCATTCGTTAAATATCCCGCATTACCGCACCGCTGCTATGTTGTTTACGAATATTTCTCATAATTGAAACATGTGCGGCCAGCGTGGATAATCGCCTTTGTATAATCGGCATAGTTATGCAGCGACAGGTGGAGGCTCTTGTCGCTTAGACCTGCGACTTGCTGCATTTCTTGCAAAATAACGTGCAAGATAAAAATTACGACGGCGCTTTCGTAACTCGTCGATTACGCAGAAAGCTCTCTCCTGGTCGCATAGAAAATAAATATTTGCAAGTAGTCTAGAAATGAACCATCATTTCAAGGAGACTGTAAGGCGAATCGGAAGTGTCGAGAATTGTAAAAGAAAAACGTACGCTCGTGTGAACAATGTCGGCGCGTGATTCTTTTCAGAATTTTCCACCGGTTAGTTTTCGATAACACGAATTCTTGAAATACATCCTGCCCCTATCAATTATGTTACGTAACCACGCGCGGAATAAATAAGCATCCACACCGCAATTGTACTGTCTGTTTGACCATTTAGTGGTGTTATCGCTAGCTTCGAATCTAAGCGAGAAAATTAATGACCTGTGGGCATTAAGCCTGACAATGCGCCGCACTTTTTCCCCCGAGCAGAACTTTGCGATTAGAAAACGTGAATCGTTAAATACGCTTCAACGAAATATTTTGAAATTAATATTTTACGAGCTTTGATAAGATCATTTGTGAGAATTCCGCCGGTGTGCGGAGAGAAATTTTTTATGATTTTTTTTCGTGGTAAATACACGTGGGGAATATACGCGATTATTGTGTAACAGTTATTATTTGTCAAAAAAAGCACATAATGTTGATACACAAATAGAACTGTATAATTATCGCAACAATCGCGAACACGAATTGATGTGTTAACTATATCCACAGAAAAAATTTCCGGATCCAATGCTATTACACTTCAACGTATCATAAAATAGGATCGATATAGCGAAATATATCATATTTATTATAGAGAAAGGAATATTTCAATCCTAAATGAAAAGTTCTAAAATCTAGAATAAAATGATAGTATGTAACGTCTTCTGTCGAATATCGCGGTGCCAACTTCGTGCGATGTAAGATGGAGGGACAATTTATTCTAAATGCAAGAATATAGAAACTTACATTTATATAAGTTACTCTTGTCTCAATATAGTAAGTCAATCTTTTTTAATTCGATAGAGGAGAAGAATTATTGATTTTATTCTAATATTGTATTATTTTTATACTAAATGAGGTTGTGAGAAATATAAATGCGTCAAGAATACTATTTGTCTCGGTAACAGAAACCCTTTCTGAGGGTGTATTTAATGACTGCGTAAGTTGCATTATGGATACAATGAAGCAAATATTTATGTCAAAAATCATGAAGAAGAAAGAAGAAGGAAGAAGCCAATATTTCTTCGTGACGCGATATCATGACTCTGGAGTTAAAGTATAAGACTGCTTTTAATGAAGATATACAAAAACGGAAACTCTTATAAAATCTGATTTCAAAGCCTAGCGGTCCGCGACGCGGAGGGGGAAAAGAAATATGCGTTTCGGTCACCGCGTGTTTACGACTGAGAGCCTTTCGAAACTTGCAATTTCGGAAAAATCCGCAAGGCAAATACGTTCCCGCGTACCGTAACTCCTCGAGGCTTCCGAGATCAGGTTTTAAAAATAGTCGGTGGATTTGCATCTACGTAAGAAGCGAACGGACGACGGATGCCCGACGGAGAAACACGTGTGATTTACTGGGAATAAATCGCACCAGGGATTTATTGGCCGTCCGTCGTCGTCGTCGTCGGGTAACTGAAAACGTTTTATGCGCTCGGTGCGAGGGGGGGCAGAGACGGTGCGCAAAACCGTCTGTTCAATTCACGTTGCACGGAGTCATCATTGTCGCCGCGCGGATCGGAGTCGCGTTACGTCAGGGCTGACATTGGTCGCCACACCTGCGGTCTGTCCGTCTCGCCCGGTATGTTTTGTGCGTGAATGGATCGCGTACGTGCGTCTTGGCGCTCGCGGTTCTGTAATTTCGCCGGGTAAAAAGCGGCGCAAGACGCCGATAATTGCAGCCGGTCTCGTCTTCCTCGGCATGATCCGCGAACGAAGGCGTTTAACCCGCGCGAATATTTAACCCCGATGTCGCCGTGCATTAATTAGAATCACGCAAACAACTCGGGGTTGCCCGGTCAAGGCGTGCTGTACGCCACGATGGTGTTACAATTAAAATGTTATAGCTTCAGATTAATTAAAGAATTCAACGTGAGTGCACAAAGTTGAATTTATAAATTTTAAATACTACATATTTAGACACTAACACCCTGTAGCGGCTCTTAGTCCTTTACTCCAAATTTGTGTTTATCGTATTTGAGCCGTACGAATTTTATGAATTTATAAATTTCTACATTTATGGACGATAAGAAATGTTTAAATTACACACATTGAAGAAGAAGCGCGAAGCTTAAAGTACATTACTTTAATTCCGTATTAAAAAATTTGTATTCAACTGTTGTCGTTTTCAAAAATAAATTCTTTTGTAACATTCAAACAAATGCAAATCCGACGTGAAAAGAACGACGTGATGTAAATACAAGTTCTTGCGCGCTGTTAGAACAGTTAAAGGTAATCCGCACTGTTGTATGTATTGTAATCGTAACAATTTGATTTAATGACTTTTAATTACTATTATTTACAGATAATTATATTTGTCGTCATCCACAGTAGCGTTACAGAAGTCCGGTGTAAAATCACACATAATGACATCGAAAGGATAACATGCACATGTCATTATTTATTGTTTAATTAACCTTCTCTAATATGCAGCTACAGAGATCAGGCAAAAAAGTAAACTAATGGAATATTCCGTCGACACGCAAACGAGTGAGCAAAAAATCGCACGTGTTTATGTAAACTCGCGTGAATTTAACTCCTATTCAATTTACCACTTGTCATTATTGAATAACTAATTATTTATCAGACCATCGCTCTTCGTAAAATTTATTTCTCGAGAAACTTCTGTTTTATTTTTTTCAT